TGTCTCTGCAATAGGACGAGTTCTTTGGGTATATGCCAAGGAGCGATATAACTGGGTCAAATGGTAGGTTCATTTGTAGTTTTTTAACAGTTCTCCACACTGCTTTCCATAGGGGTTGAACAAGTTTGCAGTACCACCAGCAGTGGATGAGCATTCCCCTTTCCCCACATCCTCTCCAACATTTGGTATCATTTGTTCTCTTGATCTTAGCCAGTCTGACTGTGGTAAGATGAAATCTTAAAGTGATTTTAATTTGCATTTCTGTAATTACTAAGGATGTTAAACACCTTTTAAGATGCTACTTAGCCGTCTTTATTTCTTCTTTTGAGAGCTCTCTGTTCAGCTCCTTAGCCCATCTTTTTATTGGGTAATTTCCTTTCTTGATTCTTTGTTTTTGAGTTTGTTATATATTCTGGATGTTAAACATCTGTCAGATGTGTCGCTGGTGAAGATTTTCTCCCATCCTGTATGCCTGTGATTCGTAAGTTTGGTCTTTTTATGGTGTCACACAATTTCTGCACATTCCATTCTTGTGTTTTCTTAAACTTTTCATAATCTTTCTTGAGTGGTCTAATTCATCCAGTTTATCTTCCAGTCTTGATACTCTGTTTTCCATTTCATTCATCTTATTGGTGAGGTTTTCTACTGTCATTTCTAATTAGCTTACTAAGTTTCACTTCCTTCTTCTTTTCAGCCTGAGTATTCTTCAGTGTTTCTATCTCTTCTGAATTCATTCAGCAGTTTATCACTATCTTCTTTCAGTTCTTTGATTTCTTTGTGTGTTCTTTAAATTCACTAAATTCTTTTTATCATGTTTATAATTGTTCTTTTGAGTACCATGTCCTGTGTTATCTCTAGGGGGTTCTCATTGTACTCCTCTAGAGGGCTGTTGGTATTTGGTGGGGATATGTTATTTTGGTTTCTCATGTTAATATTTTTTCTCTGAGACTTTGACATGTGGATTTCTTTTGTAGTTTCTGATTCTTATGTGAGACTCAAGCCTTCCTTTGTTGAGTTTAGGTCTGCTTGTTTTTGTAAACTTTTAAAAAATATTTTATTATTTTTATCTATATGAGTGTATTGTCTGCATGTATGTGAGTGCACCCGTGGCATGCAGTGCTGTGGAGGTCAGAAGAGGGCCTTGGATTCCCCTGGAACTGGGGTTAAGGATGGTTTGTAGCTTCCATGTGGGTGCTGGGACTCAAACCAGGGTCCTCTGCAAGAGCAATCAGTGTTCTTAACCACTGAGCCATCTCTCCAGCCCCATCTTTTTGTAAACTTTATGTGCCTTTGTGGTTTACTTGTTGGGCATGAAAAGCTGGTTGGTTAGGCTTCAGGTTCTCTCTTTTGATTTTATATTGGAGTAGCCAAAATGCTTTTGTCTTGCTGTTCAGGAGTTCCCACAGAGGCCCAAGTCAGATGAGGATCAGGTGCTCTCAGGCTTTCTCCTATGATCTGGATCCCTCCAGGAAAGATGCTACCCTCAAGAATTTGAGGGCTGGGCTGGCCTGGGAGGATCATGGCCCAGGAGAGATGCTGCCCTCAGGAAGCTGGTGGCTGTGCCGCCCAGAGATGCAAAGAGAAATGGGGGTGAGAACAGGCCCAGAGGGCTTCTGGGGACTACAGGGAGGAATTGGGTTGGTCTGGATGAAAAGGATCAGGAAGCAGTGGGGATTCTGGGCCAAGAGGTCAGTCCAGGGGTCTGTGGTGTCAATAGAAGAAATGGGCCAGGACCAGGCTAGGAGGAGAGATGGGGTGGGGGAGCTGGGAGGGTGAATGAGGCTTGGGAAGTCAATGTGATGTGGGCTCTGAGGAACTTACCCAGGATAGATGCTGGCCCCAGGAAGCTGGTGGCTGTGCCATCCAGTGATGCAAAGGGCTTACTGTTCTTAATTCTTATGTAGCATGTCTATGTGATTTATTCAGCTGTGCAAAATATATATCCTTTTTTGTTTCTACTGTGGTTATTGATTAAGTTCATGGCAACTGAAAAGTAATCTTTATAATTGAAAACAACACAGAAGTATCTTTATGATATCAATAGAGCCTTATCTTTTAAGTGACTATTGCACAGTTGATTTTCTCTATTTTGGTTTTTCATGTTAATATTTTCAAGTAATGGCCTGATCAAGATAACAATAGAAATAGCTATATTTTTTTGAGGTCTTATATGTACCAGTTGTTCTGCCAAGAACTTTTGGTGTTTTGTCTCATTTAATCAATTCTGTAAGGATGATACTATTGTTCCATTGTTCTTTAGGTAGAGACCAAGAACAACCTTGTTGAAGGGTAGTATTAGCAGTACAGAGTAGTACAGTACCTTAACCCTCATGAGTCAGGGGCACTGTAGTATCTGCGATGTTGCAGATGTGGTGGCAGAAGGTGAGGCTTGGTCCTCTGAAAGCCTTTCAACTTCAGTTCATTCTGCCACAGTGAGAGGAATAAAGTACCTATTGGGCCATCCCATAGAATATTTGGTGAGCCAAATGTGCAAATGCTCTGTGCTGTCCTCTTTAGGAATTGATATCCAGACCAGGCTGATTTCTCTTTGGTCCTTAGCTGGCTACAGTTGTGGGTTACCTTCTGGTTGGTACTTGGTAGAGAGAGTACCAGAGTGGCCTGTGGAGGGTGCGAGAGAGGCTTGTGTGGAGCATGCTGGGACAGGGGGGAGGTTAATAGGGAGAAATCTGACCTCCTTGGCTCTTCAAAGGTCATTACCTGGTGAAGAAACTATTTGCACTTATATTATTTTCATTTTAGTAAATGGGTTTCATTTGAGTAGATTTGAGACTCTGGCTTTTTGTCTTAGTAAGATAAGGTATAAGCTGCAGAGGTGACTGAAAAGTGAAGATGTTTAAAGTCTGATTTAAGGTAATCATAAGTCTGATAATTAAGTTTTTTAACCTAAAACATTTAAAAAATATTTTTGATAAAGGAACGAGAGAAAAGAAAGCATGAACGAATTCTGAGTGAAGAGCTCGTGGCTGCTGTGACCTACCTTAATCAGTTTCTGCCTCCCGAGCACACAATTGTCTACATCCCCTGGGACATGGCCAAGTACACTAAAAGGTGACCGAGGTTCACATGTCTGGCTTTGTGTTTCCTTTTCCTGACTGTCAAACAGTAGCTGATCTCTATGTAATGTTGCCCTTTTCATTTCCTTATGAGACGGCTGGGAATTAGTTTGAGCACTTTAATGAAGTGACCAAGTCTTCACCTGCCCTTTTACCTGCTCATTCTGTATAAAGTACCAGCGGTTTCATGGCATCTATTCTTCATTGAATCATTAGTTTGGCTTTTTTGTACTTCATTCTGCCTTGTTCTTTAAGTTCTCACAGGCAGCACTTTCATGCATCTCTCTCGTAGACGAATGTGCAGTAACTCTGTTAATAGTAAACCTAAGCTCCTTAATGAACTGGTTGATTCTGGAATGTTATAAATCCGAGGGATGTTCTGTTTGAGAAAACCTAATCTTTATGCCCAGAGCAAGTCTTTGTTCTGTGACTTGCCACCCCTGTGGCATGCTTTCTCACCTCTCTTTTATCTCTCAAGATTTGGTTCAGAACTAATCTCTTCTAAGGAACCTTTTTTCCATTAAACTTTGCACAGTCTTTTATGCTGGGCATGGTGACACACACCCTTAGCCCCAGCACTGGAGGCAGAGGCCAGATTACTGTGTATTTGAGGCCAGCCTGGTCTACATAGCCAGTTTCAAGGCAGCCAGGGCTTGAGATAGTGAGACCCTATCTCAGGAACAAAAACCACAAAAACCTCACAAAACCAAACAACCCCTGCATTGTCTCTCTAGACCTTCCCTTCACTTCCTATACACAGTGGGTTTTTACTCTCCCCATTTGTTTTGTGCTTAACTCCTTGTGCTGTTTTTCCTAAGTCATTTTTGGTAGTTGATTCCCCATGAATACACGTATGCATCTACTTTCCCACAGTATGTTAGTTCATTGGTTGATACAGTTCATACTAATTTCTTTCCAATTTTGTCTTCCTTTGTCACAGCACTAAGCATTGTCATTTGATGAGTGCTTAGTGGTTTGACTAACAGCTCTTAAGAGTGAGACTTTGGAAAAACCTCTTGTGGCAAGGGCCTGGGCCAAGATTAGGGAATGTGCTGGTATTTGATATTAAGCCACAAGACCTATTTTCATTTTGCATCCACTGTTGTTAGTCATTGACTCTACATTATTCCTACAATAATCTTTACAGCATTTTTATTAAATATAAACCACAAGATTTAAAAAATATCATTACTATTGACTTTATTTGCCTTAGATGTGCGAATAATGCATATTAAAACCCAAGTTCTTCTCACGTTCTCGTTATTCCTTCCCTCTCCAGCAAGCTGTGTAATGTTCTTGATCGATTGAATGTGATTGCAGAAAGTGTGGTAAAGAAAACCGGTTTCTTTGTAAACCGCCCTGATTCTTACTGCAGCATTTTACGCCCAGATGAAAAGTATGTATGGTATTTAAAACTTAAAATAAGGGTTGGGGAGGCAGCTTGATTGATGAAGTGCTTGCTATGCAAGCATGAGCACCTGAGTTTGATCCCTAGCATATAATGCCAGGGCTGAGGAAGCAAGGATAGGCAAATCCCTAAGGCTCACTCACCAATCAGCCTAGCTTACTTGGAGAGCTTCAAGTCAGCTAGAGACCTCTTCTCTAAAAGAATCAAGGTGAGATGCCTTAGTAGGTAAAGGTTCCTGCCATTAAGCCTGACAACCCGAGTTTCATCTCCAGAACCCACATGGTAGAAGAGAAATGACTCCCACAAGTCCTCCTCTGACCTCCACGCTTGGGCACTTTGGACACGCACACACACACAATAAATAAGTAAATTCATGAATAAATGAATAAATAAATATGTATATATATATATATATAAATTTTAAAAAATGTGAATAACATTTGAAGAATGACAGCCAAGATTGATTTTTGGTCTCCAGCACATGAACCACACATGTACATACATTTAGACCAATGCATATGCATTCATACATGTGCCCATACAAAAGCACAGACACACAGAGAGAGAGAGAGAGAGACTTGAATCAAGATTTCCATTCTTATGTATAAAATATTCTAGGGGCTGGAGAGGTGACTTAGTGTTAAGAGCACTTGCTCTATAAGCATGAGCACCTGAGTTTGAATTGCCAGCATCTAAGTAAAAAGCTGGACATGACTATGTGTGTCTGTAACTCCAGCATTGGAAGGCAGAGACAGGTGGATCCCAAGAGCTTTGCACACACAACACACACTCACACACACTCACACACACACTCACACACACCACAAAGTAAAAAAAAATAATAATAAATTCTAAATACATAAAATCTGTGCTAACTAGAAGATGGATAGATGAATTTAGCTTTTTGGGGAGGCGAACTGCTCAGGGGACTATGTAACTGTTAGAACCCCTGGTAGTTTTATACCTTGAAATGGAAGTGGGGTTTGGGGTTAGGGTTAGGGTTGATTTGTGGAATAAGCAGTACATAAAATATTTCTGTAAAATGAATTTTTGGTAGTGAATTTTATTGTTTAGTATTTAATAGGAACGGGAGTTTTTCTAATTGAAGACAGATACTTTCATGAAAGTAGAATTTGTTGTTATATTGATTTTCTCACAAAATGTTTTGTCATTGCTGGAAATGCATTTGATTTTCAGTAAACACAGTTAACTACAGTGGTCAAGCAAAAAATCAACAATCAACTGTCAGTGTGTATATCTTTGGAAGTAATCTTCCTGTTACAGTTTCCTGTTACAGTTGTTTGAATTTGGGGGACTCTTAATATATAGTAAGAAGACAAAGGCATAGAAGATTTTATTAGGAAGATGCCTAAAATTGTGCATGCTTGTAAAGACCAAAGAAATGGGCTTAAAGGAAAGCAAGAGAGACTTTTGTTGAACATGGCTTTCTTTGAGCAGAACATGGTGACTGATCCATGTTATTTGCACATTCACTTGCCTGAAAGAATGAGAGTATGCCAAATTAACTAATTATTCCAGATCTTTCCCCTATATTGCTGTGATTCTTAACAAAAATCAATGAATATGTATTATGCCATTACATTAAAACAGGGTTTGGGAGTGGTAGAACATGTGCTTAGTATGTTCATGGCCTGGGTTTAATTCCTAGCACTGGAAGAAAGAAAAATGTAAATCATTTATTTTTACACACAGGTGGAATGAACTAGGAGGATGTGTGATTCCCACTGGTCGACTGCAGGTACAGATAGTAGTGAATACAATCTGTGTTCATAGTGTATAATTTTTAAAAATTCTTTAAAAGTATCATTCAATGTATTTTTGATCATATTCTCTCTTCCCTTAACTCCTCTAAGATCCTCCACTATACCACTACTCACCCAGCTTCCTGTTCTCCTTCCCAGGCCCCATCGAGCCCAATTATTGTTGCCCAAATATTCAAGTGTGGAACCTCCCAGGGGTATGGTCAGTCTACCAGGGCCACACTCTTGAGGAAAACCAACTCTTCCTCTCCCAGCAGCTATCAAATGCCAATACTTCTTAGCTAGGGGTAGTACTTTATGCCTACCTACCCCCTTCATGCTGGGATTTTGTCTGACTTGAGCTTGAGCAGGTCTTTTTCATGCTGTCACATTTGCTATGAGTTCACAGGTGCAACTGCCTGCTCTCTGGAGAACACTATTTCCTTGTAGTCACTCACCACCTCTGGCTCTTACAGTCTTTCCAGCCCCTCTTCTTTTGAAGATCCCTGAGCCTTGGGGGAGGGTTGTGATATACATGTTCCATTTAGAGCTGAGCACTCTGAAGTCTTTTATTCTCTGCATCTTAACTGGTTGTGGGTCTCTGCGATACTGCCTTTTACTGCAAGAAGCTTTGATAAGGACCAAGAGATACAGTAACCTATAGGTATAGCAGTAAGTCATTAGGAGTAACTTTAACTCTGCACATTTGGTAGAAAATTAGTACCAACTTCTCTCCTAGGGACCATTACCTTTCTAGACACAGGTTTGGCAGCTCCTCTTGACCCTAATAACAGTGCTAGATGTGGGTTCCAACTCATGGAGTGGGCCTTAAGTCCAATCAGAGGGTAGTATGTATACCCACAACATTCATGCCACTATTGTAGTACTAGACGTATCTTGCCAGGCCAGTGGTTATTGTAGTCCTCAGGGTTCACCCATGGGTAAGATTGATGATTACTTTTCTCCTTGAGCGTAGCACCTTCCAGCACTATGAAAGCTAGCCAGTAGGGATGAAGCTTTGAGGTTAGTACCTGCTTGAGATTGCTATGTTTTATGGTTCAAGTATGTGTTGTCATCAGCAATAGGATTTTACCATCAGTTCTGGTGGGTAGCCATGAGCAATGACAATAGCCTCTAATGTTTGGGGGTCTATGGGATCCCACAGGCAAACACCTCAGAGAGAGGTAACCCATTCCTGGTATTGAGGTTTTTATTTGTTAGGATGGGGTGTCTAGTTGGGCTGTTGTTCCCCTGTTATAAATTAACTCCATTTAAACTCTTTGTTAAATGTATATGTATATGTTAGAGAGCTTCTATACTAGTGGGTTTGCATATGGTTTATCAAAAGGCCTTTAGTGTTAGCTATCCCTTCTCATGGTCCCTTTTCTATCTACCCAACTTCCACCGCGTTTAATCCTTCCTGTTCCAGTATTCCCTCTTCCCTGTTTATATCACTGTATTCTAGTTCCTGTCTCCTGAAAGATTCCCCCCAGTGTGTGTGTGTGTGTGTGTGTGTGTGTGTGTGTGTGTGTGTGATTCAGAGCCTCACTATGTAGCCTGACTGGTGCAGCACTCACTACGTAGGTCAGGCTGGCTTTGAATTCTGAAATCTGCCTGTCTCTGTCTGTCTCTTGAGTGCGGAGAGTATAAGCACTTGCCACCATGTCTTGCTAATCTTTTGTAAAGTTTTCTATAAGTAACTATTGAGAGGTATTGAATGTAGAATTATTAATCCTTGAAAATGATTTTTAAAGCCTTCCTGTTAGTGTTTAAATCTTGCACAAAATGTGTAGCCAAGATAATATAACCTATGAATTTTTTCTATAAAATTTTATTATTGGAAATTAAAAATAAGAATATGGAAATAGAGCTGGGCATGGTGGCACACACCTTTAATCCCAGCATTCAGGAGGCAGAGGCAGGCAGATCTCTTGTGAAATTGAGACCAGCCTGGTCTTCATAGTGAGCTCCAGTCAAGCTGTGGCTACGGGAAGACCCTGTCTCAAAAAGATAAAAAAAAGCTGGGTGTGGTGGTGCGCACCTTTAATCCCAGCCCTTGGGAGGCAGAGAGTGGCAGATCTCTGTGAGATCAAGACCAGCCTGGTCTCCAGGTGGACTGAGACTAGGAGGACCCTGTCAAAAACAGCAACAACAACAAACCAACAACAAAAAGACCAAAAAGAGAATGTGTAACTAGATTGACTTTGGAATATAAGTTGGTGTTCATTTTTTTTATTAGCTATGCTTTAAGAATGATGGCTTGGGGCTGGAGAGGTAGCTCAACAGTTAAGAAAGCTTTCTACTCTTCCAGAGAACCTAAGTTCAGTTCCAAGCAGCCACATCAGGCATTTCATAATTGCCTGGAACCACACCTCTAGGGACTTAGACACCCTCTCTGGACTCCAGAGGTACCTGCACACATGTGGCATACACTCACACAGGCATACACATGCACATAATAAAAAGTAAATATTTTTTAAAAGGGAATAATACAGCTTTAACCACTGAGTAGTTTGTATGATAAAGGAGATATATCTGAAAAAAGACCATATTTTGCTGATTGATAAATATAGAAAATGTTAACTGTTTGTTCTTGTTAAACTTTCAAAGTAAATTCAAATATAGACTAGGTTTAATGATGCTGTTAGAGCAATATTAAGTGAACAAGCTTATATGATTATTAAAATGTTTATTATTTTAACCCTTAACTTTATCAAATAATACTTGCTCAGGAATAACGCCCACAGCCTTTGTTCTGTTTCTTTAAGAAAATAATTTTCATATAGTATGGAAGTAATTTGGGTGACTGAAAATCTTAACGGTGTTTTTTTAAAGACTGGCATTCTTCGAACCAACTGTGTAGACTGCTTAGATCGTACCAACACAGCCCAGTTCATGGTAGGCAAATGTGCTCTGGCTTATCAGCTGTATTCCTTAGGACTGATTGACAAACCTAACCTACAGTTTGACACGGATGCGGTAAGGTAAGCCTCATTTTCTACTACTTGGATGTCAGCAGTGACAGAAAGCAAAGTTGACTAATAAGGATTTTTATGAACTCATTTCTGCTTGTAGCTTCTCAAAGATTATATTGTTTGAAGACAGTATTCAAGTTAGTTCTTAATATTTCTTTTAAATATTTCTACATTGTTGCCACTGGATTTTGTTTTGTTTGTTTTTGCTTGTATTGATTTCATTTATAAGTACTGTGTTTTTTAGATAAATCCAAAATGCTTAGACAAACTAGTGGGTTAAATAAAAGCCCAGATGGCAATGAAAAACAGTGCTGTGTCGTCATACATTTTGAACTAAAAATATAAGATGTATAAGATTGATTCTTTGTTAAGGGTTACTGTGTCTTGACTGTCCATTGGCTCTGTGAAAAGAAAAAGATAGTATATAACTTACATGTCTGCTATGGGCAAAATATTTGTATCTCCCTCAAATTCATATGTTGAAATCCTTGCCCCCAAAGAGATGGTATTAGGAGGTGGAGCCTTTGAGAAGTGATTAGATCTAAGGTCAGAATCTCATCCTTGGGATTAGTGGCCTTTGAAGAGTGACCAAGGAGATTTTGCTAGTTTCTTGCTCATATGACAACACAGCAAGAAGGCCCACCTATGAACTAAGTGGGCCTTTATCTTGAACCTTCCAGTCCCCAGAACTGTGAGAAATAAATGTTTGTTGTTTATAAGCTACCCTGTCTAGTATGCTGTTACACTCGCCCAAATAAAGTGAGGCACTGTGCAAAGCAAGAGCATATCTTTTGTCAAAGGCAATTTGGTGGGACCAAAATTGTGCCATGGGAGGTGAATTAATGTGGCAGGCTATAAGGTGTTCAGAGTTTTTCTAATATGATTAGAAACCACTTGATCTGGTTTTAATGGGTTAGCTTATGTTTCCTGTGACCTTGGCATTAGATCATTATAAAACAATATATTTTACATTTGCATTTATTTTCAAGATATTGAGGAGTCTACTTGAAAGATTCGGGAGAAAACATAAAGTAAAAGACTCTGAGTCTGTGGCCAAGTGAATGACTTTTGAAATCATCTTGTTTAAAAACTTTTTTTGCCATATTGGTGATTGTACCCAAGGCCTTACACATGCCAAGCAGATGCTCTACCACTGAGCTGTATCCCCAGTCCTCTCTTCATTTCTTATTTTGAGATGGGGTCTCACTAACTTGCCAAGACTGATTTTGAACTCAGTCTGGGTCCAGGCAGGCCTTGAATTTGTGGTCCCCCTGCCTTAGCCTCCCTTCTGTCTGGAATTATTTGTGTGAGTCACCAGACCCATTGGCACCAATCTCTAATGTGAGTTTTTCTTTTATGTAGGTTATTTGAAGAACTCTATGAAGATCACGGTGATACTCTGTCCCTTCAGTATGGTGGTTCTCAACTTGTTCACCGAGTAAAAACCTACAGAAAAATAGCACCATGGACCCAGCACTCCAAAGACATCATGCAAACTTTGTCTCGATACTACAGCAATGCCTTTTCAGGTAATTTGTGGCAAAAGCGTATTTCTACCACTTACCCTTATGTGCATTTCTTTTCTTCTTATACATATACTTTTTTTCTTTTTTAGCTATTTATTTAAAGTTAAAATTATTTGTAAATTTACATAAAATAGACTTTTATGACTTAGAAGGTACTCAATAACTACTTGTTCAGCACATTAATGGATGAATATTTTTAATTTTTTTCTTGAGACAGGTTCTCATGTATCCCAAGCTGGTGTCAACCTCACTATGTAGCTGAGGATAACTTTGAACTTCTCATCCTCCTTCCTGCACCTCCTGAGTACTGGGATTACAGGAGTGTACCATTAATGCGTGATTTATATGGTGCTGGGATTAAATCAAAGATTTTATGCATGCTAGACAAACACTACCAACCGAACTACATCATCAGTCCCACATTTTGGATCTTAAATAGGGCACTTTTGCATTTTGCCATATGTCAAGAGTTTTTACATAATGAAACATCTTTTGATTTCTTGACTTCTGCCTCCTTGTATATTTCTCCTTCGTATTTCTGTATATGGAAATTTATTTGAGAGTATTGAATCATCTTTGCAGACAGGGGTCTTGGTAGTTGTTTAAGAATGGTTAAATTGTCAACTAGAAATTAGTAATGATATTAGCATTAAACCATACTTTTATGATTTGTGAATAAACACAAAGTTGTGTCAATGGTACTTGGTACTTTCCCTGCCTCCATTCTGGTGCCATCGTCAGTATAATATACAATATTACAGACCAAAGGGATTGTGAAACAGATCCCCATGCGCAGAATTTATACAGGAAGTGCTCAGTGATCAATTCCATGAGTCTTCAGCCTTGAACAGAATAGGGATTTTTTAAAAAAATCAAAGAATTTGGAGAAGAGTAACAAAGTTGCTCTTTAGAAGGAACTGTTGTCTACATGCATGTCACCCCATTCCTTCACCTCAAGCCACAGGGCTCGACAGGGCTCTAAGTGAGCCCATTATGGCACCCTGCCTTTGGAGGGATCCCTGGATGGCTGTGTAGTAGTTCTATTGAGAGGGATGGTTGAGGAGAGTGCTATACAGTGGGAATTGCCTGCATGTTTAGAGTAACCCCTACAGAACTTGAGTGTTTACTGTTAACCAGATACAGACCTCATGGAAGAGGCTATCAGCATTGGGTTGGCCTGGTCCTTTAGGTTGGCCTGGCCTGTATGGACCTTTAGGGACCAAGAGCCCCTAACAGCCAAGAACCAGGAGGTAAAACTAGAAACTTTCTCCTTTAAAAACAAAGAAAAAAGAAAAAGATGCATGTGCCAACACCAAGGGAGTTGAAAGAGCATCCTTAATGATGCTCAGAAGCATCCATGAGCGTTTGCTTTCAACATCAGTTAGGCCCAGCGTGGATGAAAATGAGTCTGTTATGCTCTGTTTTTATGTAACAAATTATTATAAAGTTAGCAGCATAAAACTGAAGTGGCAAAACTAACTCCATTTTGTTCTAGCTGACTTTTGCTTTACCCTGTGTTTTTTCCTAGTCATTCTCACTGCATCCAGCCAGGCAGAGCATTTCAGAGCATTTCATGCAGGCCATTTTAGGGAGTATATTGTTTGTACAATACTAGGAAATTTACAAGTAGCCAGGTAGCATACCCTCCCACCTAGCCTAACCAAAACTTGTTAACTGAAAACCTCTTTGTTAACCGACCTGACCCTGGTCTGGTGTAACTGTGGTGATCTGATATAACTATGGTTATTGGCTTTACCCCTGGCATGGTATAATTGTGATCTTAAGCTTTAAAAAAAAATTTTATGTTTTTATTATTTTTATTTTATATGTATGAGTGTATTGCCTGCATGTATGTAAGTGCACCCATGTCATGCAGTGCCCGCAGAGGTCAGAAGGGGGTGTCGGATCCCCTGGAAATGGAATTATAAACTGTTGTTAGCTGCCATTTGTGTCTGAGAATCAAACCCAGGTCCTCTGCAAGAGCAGCCAGTGCTCTTAACCGCCACGCCATCTTTCTAGTCCTTGGTTTTAAGCTTTATAAATCCTGCTCTGCTTCTTCTTGGGATCGAGAGTTCTTTTGGGCATTAGACCTTTCTCTGACTTCCAGCTACTAATAAAGGACTCCTAATTGGACTGTCACTATGTGATGTTTCTCTGTGCATCTTGCTCAGTATTACAAAACAACACATAATCACTATGACAGTTTTTGTGGGTCAGAAGTTCAGGAATAACTCAGCTGGGTCCTCTGCTAAGAGTACCAAGGCTCCAGTTAAGATGCCAGCCATGCCGTCATCTCATTAGGCATTTTGACTAGGGAAGGATCTAACTTCAGCCTGTGTGTTTGGTAGAATTCAGTTCTGTACAGTTCCTTGTAGCTGAAAGACTTGTAGCTACTTGCTTCTTCACAGCTAGTAAAGGAAAAGCAGCCTGTCGAGCAAGGTCCCTAGCAAGACAGTCATCTTATATAAGGGTATATAATCATGGGAGTGACATTTTATCATTTGCCCTAGCCCATTGGTCTGAAGAAAATCACAGGTCCTACACACTTGGCAAAAGTACCAACTGGTAGCATTGAAAAACAGGAATTGACTGTCTCAGTCCCACAGCGTGGAAGTCTAAAATCAAAGAGTCAGTAGGACAGTTTCCTCCTGAAAGCCATAAAGGGGAATTCTTCTTTGCTTCTTTCTGGCTTCCACTGGTTGCTGGCAATCCTTGATGTTTGTTGACTTGAGATAGCAGTGCCACAATCTCTGCCTTTGGCTGTTACATACCCTCCTCTTGTATCCATATCTGTTCTCCTCTGTTTCTTTTTCCTCTTCTTACAAGGATACTAGCCATTACTGAACCAAGAACCTGATCTTCTCCAGTGTGAGTACATGCTGATTGGATTGTTATCTACAAAGACCTCATTTTCCAAACAGTTACATTCACAGACACTGGGAGTCAGGACTTCAAAGTAACTTTGGAGACATGTTCAACACACAAAAGTTGTAAGAAGATGAAGAGGTGCAATTATAAGTTCTGCCAACAAGTACAGACCTGTGGGTGTGTGTTGCTGTGAAAAAGGCTGAAAGTTGAAAGCTGCCTTTTCTGCCCCTCTCCTGCCATTATTGTCCCTGTAATGGATTGTTTTGGATATTTAAGGACAAAGCCTGCTTACTAGGAGTAGAAGGTGCAGATGGGTATATGAATATAAATGATTTTTTAAAAGCATAATACTAAATGTAACTATGGGTACAGGAGCTCATTATGTACATATAGAAAGGTACAGAAAAATAGTAAAAACTGAAAAATGAATTATTATGAAAGCTATTATATTATGAGTAATGTGGCTAAAAGAGACTTCCTTATTTTAAGAAGCATGGTATCATTGGGGTGTATACCTTCTTTGAAAATAATGGTGGGTATTATATAATGATGATAATACAGAATAATTTTCTTTAAAGTATTTAAGATAACTTTGCCACACTTAGTCTTGTTATTTTATGCCTCTAGGCTGAGCAGGAAAATATTTATGATTAAGAAACTAAAATAATGAAATTAAATGGTTGAGGATTCTACCCTTCATATAGACAAATGTTTGTTGTGTGAGCAACTCCTCTGACCCTTTGTTGGGTTCGTTTTTAAAACTGTTCTTAAAGCTAGGCACAGCTGTTCAGGCCTATAGTTCTACCTACTCAGGAGGTTGAGGCAGGAGTATACCTTAAGTCTATGAGATTAAGCCAATCTGGGCAACACAGCAAGATCTCTATCTCAAAAATCAAACAAAAACCTGTTCTTGAGGCTTTGCCTATCAGTATGCTCAGGGGTTTGTCTCCAGGCAGCATCTGCTGGCTTCCAGCCTAATGGGTTACCTAGGCAGGTAGAGGATGCCTTACTGGAAACACAGTTACCTAGGCATTCACCTTAAATGTTGGGAAGAGCTTTTACTTTCCTTGAGGATCTCGTTAAACTGTCCTTGCTTTTTTAACGTTTACATTTTGTAAGCCTGGATTTTCTTGCTAGCGTCTTGAATTTAAATCCTATTATTAAAAACAAAACAAACTACCTGATACAGTTAATAATAGAACTGATACACACATACATATATACCCTACATATATGTGTATAATTTAAATGTGGTGGGTGCATATGCATGCATGCATAGAAGTGGACCATGTATTCTTCAAACTGATTTTTAAAAAGAAATAAAAGCTCTCAGAGTAAAGACTTTCAAGCTCACCAAGCAGAGAGAGACATGCTCACCAAAGACAGTGCTGAGGTGGCTTTCCCCTGGTGCCATGAGGTGCTCTGAGAGTACTGCTCACCTATGGAAGGAGGCGTGTAGCTTTCCACATAGAGTGGGTTAACCTTCTGAGGTCATACTTGGAACAACAGATTTTAGTGAGTAAGCTCTATTTGGCTTTAGCAGGAAGAAACCAATTGCAAAATGCTTTGATAACATTTTAAATAACACCAAACCCAAATCTCTTTACTTCTCCTATACCGAAAGCATGTTAAACACGACAGGACCAAAGTTGTAAGTTGTTAACCTCAGTTTAAGTTGCACAGAGCACACTCAAAACCACCGTTACAGTCAGTCCTACAGCTTTCCCTAGTGTGTCCCTTCTGCTCTCCAAAATGATCACTTCATGCCTGTCCACTCCTCTAACCTACAGCTGCCAACCTCCGCTGATGACTTTGGTGTATACTTCACCAAGGACCTGAAGGTAACAGAAAGGAAGAGCGTTTCACTACCAAATGAAAACTTTGTATCTGCACCCAGAGTCTGCCTTACCTTGTATGTAGAGCTTGGAGTGTCCCTTCCAGGACTCAAACCAGGCCCTCTGCTGTGCTTTGAATCACAACCTGTCCTTGCTTTTCCCTATATACTTTTATCTGTTGGTTACTTGGTTTCCCTCTTACTCAACCATTCAACTTTTATCCCAGCTGACAATTTCCACTTTCTTATAACTCCTGTACCATCCTTCCCAGGTTCTCTGTTGATTTCTGCTCTACTTCTA